TTTGTTTTCTTTCTGTAATCACTTGGGTATGGTTTTTCCTTTCTTCAGTCTTTTGTATTACTGTGTTCTCTGGAGTGCTGGTTTGGTGGAAATGAATTCTTTCAGGGTATTTGCATCATGAAAGATTTTTCTTTATCTTTAGACTATGACAAACATTTATTTGGGAAAAGTATTCTGGGTTGACATGTATGGTCATTTGGAACTTCAAATACAGTGCTCTAGGCTCCTCTGAGTTTTTCTGTTTGCACTGAAAAGCCACCTGTAATTCTGAGGTACTAATACTCCTTTACATGTAACTTGGTTTTCTTTGCAGCTTTCGGTGTCCTCTCTGTTCTGTGCATTTAGTATGTTGACTATGATATGCCATGGCAGCTTTTCTTCTGGTCCTTTCTAGTTGGTGCTCTGTGTGCTTCTTATATCTGTATAGGTCTGTCTTTCTTTAATTCAGGGATCTTTTCTTCTAATATCCTGTTGAAGTTCTGGTCAATGCCATTGACCCAAGATTCTTCTCCTTCCTCTATGCCTATAATGTATAGATTTGGTCTTTTCATGGTGTCCCACATTTCCTGCATATTCTGTTTCTATGGGTTTAAATTTTTTTATATATATTCTTTGCTTGAACAATCCAACTCTTTAATTTATCATCTTGATATTATATTTTCCTCTTTAAAATTTTTATTTATTATTTCATGTGTATTAGTATATTGCCTGCATTTAGTAGGTGAACCTGTGTTGTGCAATTCCCACTGACATCAGAAAAGGGTGTTGGGTCCTGGAACAAGAATGACAGATGGTTGTTAGCCACCATGCTGATATTGGTAATCGAACCTGGGTCCTCTGCAAAAGCAGCCAATGTTCTTAACTGCTGAGTCATCTCTCCAGTCCCTTGATAACATATTTTTTCTTTGATTCATTCCGTTGACAAGACTTTCTTCTGTCATTTCAAATTGTCTTATTGAGGTTTTCTAATTTCACCTTCATTTCAGCTTGAGTCTTCTTCAATATTTCTGTCTCTTTTTTGAAGTTCCTTTTCAAATGCTGAGTTGTCTTTGTCACTTTATTCAGTTGTACATTTGTACTTCAGTCAGAGTTTCTTCCTTTCCTCTTTGTCTTTGAGTTGTTTGTTTAGCATTTTTTAAAATTCGTTAATTCTTTGATTATGTTTATGAGTGTTTAAGTTTTGGGTCCTGGGGTTCCTCCGAGTTGTTCTCATTGTTGAACATCTCTGTAGAACTACTGGGACTTCTTGGGAACGTACTGGTTTTGTTTTTCATATTACGTGTATTTTTGTGTTGTGACCTGGGTATACGGACATTTTATTGTTGGTTGTGTGTCCGATATGAAATTCTAGCCTGAATTTGTCGAGCTGAATTTTGTTCATGTTCTTATTGACTTGGTGGCTTTCTGATTAGTTATGAGTAATTAGTTGGCCTGTGGTTCAGCTTCTCACTTTGGATTTTTTTTTTTTTTTACTGAAGGGAAGGGAGTGTACAGGCAGGCAAGCCAGAACCTGTCCAGCAGCATGGAATTCCAAAGCAGGAATATGGCAAATGTGTGTGCAGGTTCTGACTAGCTAAGCAGAGTTGCTGCGAACTTGGGCAAAAGAAACAGGCCTAGGCCAGAGCAAGAAGATGGGGCTGGTTCTGACTAGCTAAGCAGAATAGCTGTGACCCCTGGGGCAGTAAGGAACTGGCCTAGTAAGGAAGCAGAATGAAGGTGACCAAGTGGGAATTTGTCATTTAAAAAAATGCATAGGAAAAATGGCTCATCATAAATTTGGCTATTATCAGTTGTGAATAGAAAGAACAAGGAGAGCTGAGACTAGTGGTACACGATTGGCATCCCATTTAGATGGGAAGGCTGATGTAGGGAACTCCAAGTTCAAGCCATCCTGACACCTTCGTGGAACTCTGTCTCAAAATCAAAAGTTAAAGGATGCTAACGATGTAGCTCAATTGTAGGTCATTTGCCTAGTATGGGCAAAGCCTCAGGTTCAATTCCCAATATTAAGGAAAGACTAAGAACTATTTATTTACTATCTATACCCTTAAATTATGCTCATATATATATACTACTAGAAGATTTATAGACAGAAATTGCTGAAAGCATTCAGGACTTACTGCATAAAGTCTTGATCATAAAATGGATTTTCCCATGGTTCCTGGGTGACAAAGTTGAGAGAAGTTGACACAAAAGTAGGAGAGGCTTTTCATGCTGCTTCTGTGTGGAACTTGGAGTGTTCTGGGATCTCGGGGACTGGGAAACTTAGAAGCTTCCAAAAATAGTTCAGTTGAAACGATACTCTTTTTTGTAGGGGACTCCATCAACATGTACAGCATAGAAACTCCTAAAGAGACTCTCAGAAAAGTAGGAGTTCAAGTATGAGAGGTAGAACAAAAACTGCCCTTTACTGCAATTTAAAGCTGGTTTATGAGCTCACTCAGAAATACAGGGGATATTAGGAATGCTACAGTTCTGTATGGACAACCTTAGGGGACAACTTCAGATCCATTTAATATTGGTTCCCCAAAGCATCCAAAAATCGCTACCAGACCACAACTGGCTTAGTTATAGAATGATATTGGTGCCCACAGACACACAAAGAGCTGAATTGCACTTCTTGACTTCTATGTACAAGGCATCTTTCACAGTTGACAAATGCACATTCCATTTTAAATGTCAACCTGCAAAAAGAGATTGTACTTAAGAAGAAAAATTTTTCTCTAAATTATGTCAACAAAAGTCTTCAAGTAGACACTAGTTTCCTAATCAAGTAATTAGTACTCAAGGTTTATCCCAAAGATCACTAATAGCAGAGATACCTAAGAACCTGCTAGAAATAAAACTTCTCAAGTCTATTCTAAACCTTAGAGTGTTTCAGGTATATCTCAGAAATCAATTTAAACATGCTTGTCAGATAATTTTTATGTAGCTCAGAGGTTGAGAAACATTGCCTCATTGAATAAATGGACTGATTCACAGTGAGTGACTTTCTGTACATTGCTGCTCTCTGAATTTTGTCACAGCAGGGAGATGGGGAATGTGCAATAGGAGCAATTTTCAGAAAATAATGAGACCCGTAACTCTATACAGACTAGTTAGTGGTGTTGAAACTGCAGGAAAGAGAAATGATTACTGCTAAATTGGATTTTCGGATAAAGATAATCATATAGTACTTATACAAATATGAAATGATGGGGATAGGCAGTTGAAGAAATGTAGTGTATCCCCAGCATCTCCTGTGCTCGCTAGAACAATCTGAGCTCACCTCGGAGAAATCACTGTACGCCACTTCCTATGGGACTTTTATATACCACAGTTCATTTCATGATTCAAAGTCTTTGATGAGAATTTGATATAAATAGTTATAGATGGCACCGGAAAATATTTAACGAGTTTGCTAGGAAAACAATGGTCACATTTAATTAAATAATCTTTCATGCAAAATGCATACTGATCTTTGAGGTGTTGTAGATTTACCTCTTATCTTTTTAAAATATATTTTTATTATTTTTATTTTGTGTGTGTGAATGTATTACCTGCATATATGTCCGGGCACCCATGTTGTGTCATGCCCATGGAGGTCAGAAGAGGGTGTGGGATCCCCTGGACTGGAACATGGTTGTTAGCTGTCATATGGGCACTGTGAACCGAGCCCAGGTTCTTTGCAAGAAAGAGCGGTCAGTGCTCTTAACCACTGAGCCATCTTTCTCTAGCCTGTCACCTCTGTTCTTTGCCATCTGTTTTCTACATGTCTCAAATGGCAGCAGAAGGCCTGATCCCGATCCTAACTAGCATTAGATATTTTGTTTGCTTTCATTTTTCTCAATGGCTTTCGTTGTTATATGTTAAGAAAATAAAGTAGTACATGAACCTCAGAGATGGAAAACTAACTGAGCCCTTCAATTTAATTTGTAAATCTTGAGTTCAAGGGGTATTGGTGCTACTATTTTATTGAAAGGAGAAATTTCCCATAATTAATAGAAAGATGTAATAGTAGGACTTATGGGATGTTCTGCATATCTGTCTGTAGCTAGATCATCTTTTTGAAATTTTTAAATGTGATAATCAATTAGGATACATTCTCTGAAAGATCAAAAAGAAGAAAGGATATATTTTATGCCTCTATAAAATTTTTCTTGAGAAACGAAAGTGTTTATATATAGGAATAACATTTATTTTCTAAAAACATTGTCAAGAACACTATGTAACTTCAAGTTGAATCTTTTTTATTATAGTAATAACACATTACTTTAAATTTGCCATTTGAATATTTTTGAAATATAAAATATTAAAGTGTTAAGTATATTCAGTCCACTGTTCATAGGCCTTTAGAATCCTTTTATCTTACAAACCTGAACCTCTTGTCTGGTAAGCACAAATTCCTCTTTCCACAGTCCCTAGCTCCTGGTAGCCACTTTTCTACTTTCTGTTTCTATGATTTTGAATGCTTTAAACATTCTATTTCATAGAAACACAATTATATAGCTTTTGGTCTTTTGTGTGTGACTTATTTTTGCCTAGGATTATAGTCACAAGATGTTGTAGCACATAATAGAGTGTCCTTTTCTTAGGTGTGCAAAATTCTTTTGCACATATTTCACCTATCCATTCATTTGATGATTGATACTTAGGTTGTTTCTACTTCTTGGTTATTTCAATAATACTGTAATGAACATGAGTTTACAAATACGTCTTGAAGATTCTACTTCATATGCTTTTTTTAGATATATACTCAGATATGGGATTACTGGATTATATAGAAGTTCAACTTTTTAATTCTTGTGAAATCTTCATTCTGATTTCCAAAAGTTCTGCATATTATGCATCCTCATCATTGTATCATCCACCAATTCAAAAGGATACCAGTGTCCCTGAATTCTTACCAATACATGTTAGTTTGGGTTCCTTTGAGAGCAGCAGTTCAATGGATATGGTGCAATATTATGCAATCATTTTGATTTTCATTTATTGTTAATTACAAAATTTATTTTTTTCAGAATTGGACAAAGAGAACAACTTAAAGGAAGAAAGATTTATTTTGGTCTCAGAGGTTTCCGTCAATGGTTGGTTTTCTGCTGTGAACTTGGAGAAATAACCCTAGTTGAGGATAGTGTCCTGGAGGAGGTTCTTTTCCTCAATATGGACTGGAAGCCAAGAGACTGGGAGGGGCCATGACTAGTTATATTCCTCAAAGCCATGCCCGCAGCGACCTCTTCTTCCAAGTAGGTTCCACCTCCCATCACCTCCAAACTATAACACCAGTTAGAGATCAAGCATTTAAAACTGAAGCCTCTGCAATTTATGCTCAGACAGTAAAATGCTTGTTGTAAAGGCATCTTTACCTATCCCCAGTGACTATTCAAGTCCTTTTTCTCTTCTAAATTTGGGATACTTTTTCATTGTTACTGATTTATAAAAATTCCTTATATACTCGGAGTATCAACTTCTTACTAGGTAGAAAATTTGCAAATACTTTGTCCCATAGTATAAGACTTTGCTTGATTGCAATGCTATCCTGTATGCTCTTCTTTATTGTAATTCTTTCTAAAATACATTTTTATCAATTCTTTGAGAATTTCATTCATGTACACAACATATTTTGATCATACATCTCCCTCCCTTCCTCCTTTTCCTCCTAGGCTCTGCCAAACCATGCCTTCATCTTAATTCCATGTCTTCTTTTCTTAGCCCACTAAGTCCACTTAAGGGTATCTATACATGTATGGGTGAAGGGCAACCAATTGCTGTGTGGGCAACTTAGCAGGGACCATATTTGTGGCAAAAAAAAAAACCCTGACTCTCCCTCCCCTAGAGCCATCAACTGCCAATAGTTCCTCAGCTGAGGTGGGGGCTCTGTGAACCTTTTCTCCAGCCATGTTGGAGTATTGAATGTCTTGATTTGGTGCAGATCTTGTGCAGGTAGCCTAGCTATTCTGAGTTCATTAGTTGAATAAAACTTTATTTTCCAGAAAAATTGTTTCACAGCATTGCTTACTAACCTCTGGCTCTTATCCTCTTCCACGATGTTCCCTGAGCCTCAAATGTGTTTGATTTACACATCCAATTTATGGCCAAGCACTCCACAGTCAGTTTTTCTCTGCATTTTGACCAGTTGTAATGTTCTGTACTAACCACAGCCCACTACAAAAAGTCTCACATCATATAGTACATGATTTAATATTAGCAATCTACAACCATCTCAGTTCACTTTTGTAAGAGTCTTACCTGATATTCAAATATTCCTTGCTTTGCAGCTTAGCTTTGTCAATTGACACAACCTGGCGTAACCTGGAGAGTCTCAATGATGGCTCATCTTGTTCAGGTTGGCTTCTGGGCATGCCTGTGGGTGACTGTCTTGATTATACCTTGAGAAGATTCATCCTGAAAGGGGATGACATCATTCCCTGGTTTGGAGCGCTGGATTATAAAAGAGAAGAGAAATTTGCCTGGGTATTAAGCATGCATTCATTGCTCTTTGTTCTTGACTCTGGATATAATGCAACTGACTTTCTCAAGTTCCTGCTGCCATGACTTCATTGTAGTGATGAGGTGTGAGCTGGAATTGCGAACTGAAATAAATAATTTCCTCTTTGGGTTTTTGTCAATATATTTTATCATAACAAGAGAAATGAACCTAGAACACTTGCCTGATAACTGACTCGGTTATGTCGATCTGCCAAGTATTCCTTCTCTTCTACCGTGCCTCAAGCAGCTCCTTGCTGCCTGGGTAGGGTGAATCATGCTCTGAGATCTAAATTTTGTTTCTTCTCAGCAAAACTAATCTCAGATTACCACTTCAAAGACAAATCAAACAGCTTGGAAGAGTGTGCTTGGGGTGCAGTGCTGAAAAGAAATGGGAGATCACCCAGTAGCTTAGTAATGGAGGAAATTATTGACAGGAGGCAAGGTGTGAGGATGGTTGGCTTCGTGCCATGATTTGATGATCTAGTTCAAAAATGAAGTATAATAATAATCCAATTATTAACTGTTACTTATACTGTATCTAGTAAAAGAAATTTGCTGTATAGAAAGATTTTTATCATGGTGACATTAACTATACTACTGTAAACGATTACTGTGTGTTTGACTTCATGATGTCTCACTTGATACTAGAAATAATGTCTGCAATAGGTTATTGTTGGCATCAGGGAGCTGAGAAGACAGATTGATATAAGAAATTAGACATCAACCCAGGTTTTATACTCTCAACGGAAAGAGCTAGGCTTTCAAATTCAGAACTGAAGGACTTTGAAATTCTCCTCATGAAGGATCTCTTGATGAGAACACCTGAGCATGCTTACCACATGTTTTCATGAAGTCTTGGTTACAGTTTGACATCATTAACCACATAAGTGTTATTATGAGAGTAATTTATGACTATATATAGTCATTGATGCATCATATATTCAGGCAGTTGGCATGGGAGAGTACTACTAGTCAGAAGAAAAGGAGCCAGGCTCATTGGTGCAAGCCTGTAATCTTAGCTACTCAAGACAAGTGGGACAATTGCAGCTTCGAGGCCAGCTTGAGCTACAAAGTGAGTTCAAGGTCAGCCTGGGCTATGTAGTGAGGAAATGTCTCAAAATGAAAAATTACAAAAAGGTATGGGGTGAAAAACAAGGAATATAATTACTAACTAGGTGAACTCAATAGAAAGAGGACCAAGATGACATGCGAACTCCTGTCACAGTTACTTAAATTATTATTATTTATTACGACTGTGTGTATGTATGTGTGTTTGACATGTGCCCATGAGTGTGTATCACACATGTACCACAGCAGTCGTTCATTATCGGAGGACAACTTTTGGAGGTGTTTCTCTGTTTCCACTGTGGGTTCAAGGGATCAAACTCAGGTCATCAGAGTTGCACAGCACACTCTATTATTTACTGAACCATCCACTAACCCTGCTATTTTACACAGTGCATTCAGCAATGCAAAATCCATGGAAAACTCAACAGCATTATATAACTTGTTCAAACTGACTAGAGGAGAAATTATGTCCATATTTGTTTTTCTGATCTGGAAATGCCTCACAGTATCATGTACAGTTTCTATTTTAATTCCAGCGTGATTTTGCATGTAAAAAAGAGATACATGTTTCTGTGGCATTTGAATCTTAT